TTCATATCTTAAAACAGATACTAATAGCACAATGAAGCTTCTAAATACATCCTCCATTCTTAAATCATTCTTTACAGGATGTATCCTTTGCATGCACTTATCCTGTCACTATCAAATAAGTAACAAAAGATTTAAAAAGAGACTTTATAACGTAAACCTTAAAGCAAAATAATTGTTTCTAGTATATTAAGAAATAATAATAAATTGTATTAAGTTCACTAGTAAACAATGAATATTCTCACCTTGTAACATGATAGCATGCAATTTGATTACTGTCTCCCATTGTGAGAGTAAAGGATATGAAGAAAGAAGGTCCCTGTAAAATATTTCATTGATTGATGCAATACATGTTATGGTTCTGAGTAAAAAGAAAGAGGACATGGCAGTGCAGGACTTGTTTCATTCTGAATTTCTACTCTAAAATTGATGAATCAGTGCCTAACTGCAGGTTAAGAGCAGTTAAGGATTTTACTACATGAATATGTTTAAAAACTGTAATTCTTTTTTCCAGCTTTAAATTTATAGACATGTATTTCGTGCATTGAAACGTCCTGATCATTTCCTGCATAGTTGATGTAGCATGTATTTTTAAAACATAAATGTTGTAAATGTGCTTATTCTTGACACTTAAACCATTGTGTCAAACTATAAGGTATTTTCTCCCTCCTTTCTGCATGCCTTCATGGCATAATGGTAGCACACTCAGCGTGTATTCAAGGACCGAGCTTGAGTCCCAGCTAGAACATTGCACATTTTTCACATCTGCTGCTTCAAAATACCATAATGATGCTATAGTGGTGCACAAACTAAAAGGTGGTGAACAATAATTTGTCACCACCAGGATTTGGCAATTAGGTCCCCTAATCCCCAGTCACCCTTTAAAAGAAGAAGTGTATAAAGTATTTTCTCCTTCTTTTCTGTATGCCTTTGTGGTGTAACGGTAGCGCACTCGGCGTGTATTTGAGAGGTCCAAATTCAAATCCCAGCAAGCACATTGCATGTTTTTTATGTATCCAGCTTTAAAAAAAAAAAAAAAGAGAAGAGAGAGAGAGAGAGAGTCTACAAGGAATTTTCTGCCACCTTTTCCCATGCCTTCAGGATATTATTGGAAGCATACTCAACGTATATTCAGAAGGTCTGAAATTCGAATCTCAATGAGGGTATTGCATATTTTTCACCTTTCCTGCCTCAAAAAATAAATAAATGAATAAAAATCTGAAATGTTTCAGATTTTAAATTACGTAGAAAGGGGCGTTTTTTTCACATTTTGTGTGTTACCTTTATTTATTAAATATCATGTTCTTTGCACTTAAACGATAAAATTTAGTTCAATAGCAATGTCACAAAATAATTTTAAAATGAGCATATCTTTAGAATTTCCGATAAAAAGGTCCCTGCCCTCTCCCGTAGAGTGTTGCCATTGTTCGCTTTTAAATCGTTCAGTTTGTTATTCAAAAATTCGTTAAAGTTTTACAAAATATGAAATTGATAATAAATTTCAAATTTCACATTTGGGATTTCAGATGCCCATATTTGCAGTAGGATTACGTCATTCAAAGTTGGATGGCTCTAGATACCATTGTTTTATTACAACGCAAGAAATATACATATATTTATGCAGAATTTTCATTATTTAATTTCGGCCCACCAGCAGCCGAGCGGTAAAGTCGCTGAACACTGATAGTTCGGTCCGAGGTTCGAATCCTGCGAACGGGCTGGCTGCATGGGCGTTTTTGTGATTTCCCCATGTGTAACGTGTATACGAGCCAGTTTCCCTTAGAAAGTCCTCCACAAAGGCATCCCTCCCCTTAGGCAGATAGCCCTCGAGGCTTTGCCATAATCACACACACACATTATTTAATTTCTTTAAATATAATGCAGGACTGTAACATTTTGTGGCAACAGTTTGAAAAGTGAACTGACATTTATAGGAGTCCGACGCAAAATGCCAAAACGAAAGTAATAGTCCTTTGGGACTCAAATCCCTTTGGACTAATAATGACTGTACAAGTTGCACCTGAACTAAAAAAGGTGGTGGATGATAATTCATCACCACCAAGATTGGTGACTAGGTCCCCTAATCCCTAGTTGCCCTTTAAAAAGAGGAATATATAAGATATTTTCTCCCTGCTTTCCACATGCCTTCGTGGTGTAATTGGAAGCATACCTTACTCATATTCAGGAGGTCCGGAGTTTGAACGCCGACAAGGGCATTGCTTATTTTGCACCTCTCCTGCTTCCCCCCCCCCAAAAAAAGAAAAACCTAATGACTCTACAAAATATTTCATTTGTTTGAAATTTTCAGTTTATGTGCAGACACCAAGAATATGCCTGATGTAAATTCCTTTTCTTGTATCACATTTTGTGACCTCTTGATAAACAAGATATATAATGTATCAAATTCTTCATTCTTCAAGTGTGTAAGCTATTTAGTTTTAATGGCTGTTAATTTTAATTCAGTCAGTTCAGATTTGATGAATTTTTTAATAATATCCATAAAAATTTTCTGAAAGTTCGTAAGATAAATATGATCCTGAATTTCGTTTTTAATAAGTTATCTCGTGATATCTCTAGTCTTCGTAGAAGCCTGGAAATATTTTGTTATTGTATTATTTGTCACAGAAGATGCAATACTTTCTCTGCTGCACTTGGATTTATTCACATTTGGAAGTTGTAGGAATAAATTATATAAAATTTTAGTAATAGATATATATTTTCTTCCAGATTTCATCCAAGTTATTTTTTCTTGTCTTGTAATATGTTCCAGTTTGTAATGACAGACTGTATTGCTGTGCACATAAAATAAGCCAGTATCCCAATATCAGATTTTGATATTTTTTGGTTTGAAAACTTAATATCTCATATTAAAACTGAAATACTTTATTATAAGTTGTATACAAATTTAAAGGATTATTGTTTTAATATAAAGAGAAGTGTTCTTATCTCTCTCTCTTTAATGTGTCAGATCAGAAAATGGATGTGAATAAATAATTTTGCATTATTCACTTCAATAAAGTATTTGCTGCTAGAACTAATATGGAAGACTAGCTTTTACAACAATTTAAGAGAAGAAAATGAAAAATCTAGATTTCAGTTTTTATATATCTGCCATCTGATTGCTAAAAACTGTTGGATTATTTGTGATTAGGTATACCATTTTACTTAATATTTAGGCCCATTTCAGATCACTGAGATTCTAATTCTTGATTATATTCTGCAGAATAATGCATACTGTTTCTCATATATAATGGTGTATAATTTTAAAAGGGCACATAAGTATCAGTGTGTAAATTTTAATAGTAATAATAGTTATGGAGTTTCACTGGTATGAAAAACGTGTTTGTAAATTTTTCTAATGTATAGGAAAGAGATTTCATATATCTGTAATTTGTTGTGCATGCTTCTGCACAAAAAGTTCCTAAATTAAGAAGGTTTGTTATAAAAACAGATGAATCTTAGTAAAATTTACAGTTATATTTCTCTTTTATTTTTACTCAGAAGGTAATAAGACTTTACAGATTCATAAAATCTCACTTCTGTGCATGGGGGAGAATATGTGAAAGATATATGATTGGATTGATGGAATAAATGTTTCATTATAAGGAACATGATAGATAGAAAAGGTGATCTGATGGACATCCAGATCATTATTGCATATAATTTCCACATCATTATTGGTTGCATTTCTAAAATTTGAATTTCATAGATTGCTGTTTGATATCTCCATTTAGCGTATACAATCAAAAGTCGTTAATCCGGACTCGTCGGGACTTCGGCGATTCCGGATTATCGATTTTTCCGGATTATAGATCATCAGTTTAAATCTCGTAAGATGGCATGCAGAAATTCTAAAATTAAAAATATGAAACCGTATTTATGAATAAAGAACAATTATGATCAATTTACAAAAAAAAAAGCTTAATATTTATTTGTTTACTTTATTAAACATTCTTTCAAGGTAAGTTGTTTAAGTTGCTTCGTTTTATGTGATAATACTCTTCTCTTTAATTCTATAAACAGACATAATTTCTTTCAGTTACAAAGTTCCGCTGTTCAAGTCCGTTAATTGCTGTGCCGAGAATACCGACTAACTTGTCAATCGAAATTTTTTCGTTTTCACTAACCTCTCTGTCACATTCTTCAATGTCTTTATCCATTTTGCAGCAATTCCACTTTTTGTTTGTTGGACATCGAAACATACTTCGTTTTGTAGATCCTTTGGAAGTTCCAGCAGCATCGGAAATTCTATTTGACATAATCGAAAGTTCAAGTTTACTTTTATAAAATTGCTCTTACAGTCTGCAAAAATAATAAGCGGGATCCAAGTCGAAGATTAAGGAACTAACGCAATCATTAACATTAAACTGGAATAGATAATTAGATAATTTTAGCTTACACCGTCCGTTATACATTAAACGCACAGGCAAAAACGTATTCTGCACTTGCGCACACGCATATGCGCAGTAGTCAAAATCTTACGCGCACGCGTAAAACGCTTGTGCGCATGTCCCAACGCGGCGCATGCGCAGAAAGTTTTTAGCTTTGAGGTCCGGATTATAGATTATTGCGGATTATGGGTGTCCGAATTAACGACTTTTGACTGTATTAAGAATAAACCGCTGCCATTATAGGTAGCTTTCACTCAGCATCATAAATTAAGATCATCCTCTCCCTCTTGACTATACTCATATTCACGATTTGCTCAGTTTATCTCGTTAAAGCTGATGCATTTATCATGAGTTTGGTGTAGAATCTTATGCATAACAGTGCTTATTGATTGTAATTTCTATTAATACGTACTATGTATTTTCTGAAACACCTGTTTAGTGAGTCTATTTTCATTTGAAAAATCATTTGCTGATCTTTTTTGTGCAAGTAGCATATTGTTTGTAAATAAATAATAAATGCTTTTCTAGCATTAATGTTTGTGGATTTCCAGTATCTAATGATATTAAAATCTACTGCATTATCTGTGATTTATTAAGATACTTTAATTACAGATACAGCACAAAGTTTTTTTCAAAGACAGTATCGCCCTCAGCATGCCTTACTTGAAATCCATCAAATCATTTTAACTGCATTTATCATTATGGGACATGTATTCCATCTGCAAGCTTTATATACCCATGTAGTCAATGAGGCATGTCAAGAGCCGAGTGGATCCCATAGCTGAGAACTTTTCAGTCAACATCCTTTCCAACCTGGCTGGCAACTTTCTTCAATTTGAAATTATTGAATTCTTTTATTTATCATATGTACTGTATAAATAAAAAAATGCAGTTGTTAAAAAAGTTTAATGTGATATACATAACATGATTTTTCAATAAATATGTATTTGAAAAAAATGGGGAGTACTTTTGAAGAAAATTGGAATCAAATATTTATGTCCCCCCACCCAATTTACTAAGTAGAACCTGTTTCAGTTGGCTAGGAACTTTTATATTTCTATATAGTGGAAGATTATCTTGTTATTTGGGATCCAACCATGTCTAACACTACTTGATGGGTCTGTAACTTCACATGTTCTCTTTAGTGTGCCAGAATATGATCGTGCTAAATTGTGAAGTGCTCATACTGCTGAAAACTTCACATGTATTACATTACTAGAGAGTTCTGTTAGTAATATTCTAAAATATATTAAATTTTTATATTTGCACTTTAAGTTATGATATCTACTAAATGTGATTTTTGTGCTGCTTTGTTAACATGGTGTATTTATGAACAGAAAGTACTGTATATTTTAACTCTTGAAACTGTGAATGTCATTACGAATGAATTTTAAAATGATCTCAGAATATCAGAATTAAAATGCTCATTTTTCATTTCAGTTTGAAGTATGCTGTGTCCTTGGATCTATTTCCGATTTGGGTTGCATAATTATAAAAGAGCACACAATAGTTGCCCTTTTAGAAAGGGATGCTTTGCTTTCATGGAGGGCTTTTGGGGAAGAATTGGTTGCTATTTGCTTTAAAGGGGAAATCCTATTCAGTGAATTTGTTAAACTGACCAGAATGAAAACAGAGTAAAATGTCTTTTATAAAATGTGGATATTAAGATAAGCATTTAGACTATGCCGAGTTAGTTCATCTAACACCTTTCCATAAAAATATATGAAGTTTAAATTTTTTTATTGACTTTCATACAAAACAAGAAAAATGTTGACCATGTTAATGTTTTAAATGAATTTATTTGGTAAAGAACCATATAATCAGAATTACTTGAAATATTCTTAATGTTTTGGAGCACCATATGCAAATATGCTAAGTTATGTTTTTAATTTTTTAAGGGACATTTTTAGAAGCTATTTTTTGTGTCAGGAAATTGTGTGTCCCTATGGGCTTTAAGTTCCTGTTTCTAAAAGTGCTTAAAAAATCATTATGGAATGTAAATCAGGTTTATATAATACATGAAATTCGTTTAAATTATTCGCACTAATTTTGCATAATACAAACTATTTTTTAATTTACTAATTTCATTTTGGCATTTTGTGTTGAAAACTCTTGTTTTCGGTTCACTTTTCAAATGAATGTCGGTTCATTTGGTGAAAAATGTCGGTTCACTTTTCAAATTGTTGCCACCAAATATTAGAGCCCTGCATTATATTTAAAGAAATTTTGACTATTTTTTGCGTGAATTTTGTACGTAGGCTCAGAATAAAGAACTCTTTAATCCAAAACTGATTGTAAAAGGAATTCAAAATGGATTTTTTGTGACATCTGCATGTACGTATGTATCTCTCATAACTCAACGATTAGCCGTTGAACATTGAAATTATGTATATGGGACTGCTTTAACATCCATTTGTACACCTCCTCTTGTTTATGGCAATCGACAGTACCAAACATATATATATATATCATTTAAATGCGTATAGACGAAGGCACTGGAAACTTTTAACAGCTTTCGATATTACGTAGATAGCTGAGAAGACAGTAATGGCTGAGGGTGAAGGCTTGATGAAGCAGATAACAAAACTGAATTGAAGAATCACCATCTTTATTTTTAAGCATCTCAAATCATCTCTTTGGCAGACAAATTTACTTTTCAATCATATTTTTATACAATAACTTCTTATATACACAGATAGAGGGGGTACTACGTCATTTCAGGGAGGAAAGCATAGCGGCACAGGCTTGTTTGCATACCAGAAGTCAGGAAGAAAAAGGGATGTAGTTCCTTGTAAAGCCATATTTATACTACGTAGGTGCAGAAAGTATTCTAAGCTAAGATTGGCCAATATTAGCTTTAGTTACCTTTTTCGAACAGTGTTATGTAATTTGGAAGAAAATCAAATCTAGAATCGTTAATTTTGAGGTCACCAATTATTTTTTAAAGCAGCTGTCGTATTTTCTTATATTTTACATATTACTACCTTCAGAAGAAAGGTTGGGACAGGAGGGTGGTAGAAAAGCATTAGAGCAGCAAAATGTAAGATATATAATTTTGAAAATACAAAACATAAAATTAACTTTTGAACAATAAAAAAAATTATAAGTCGTAAAATTTTGACTGAATTTGACATTACACCGAAAGTCATAGAATTTTAAATTCAGTAATAATTTTAAACACTATATTCTTTTAAAACAATTGCACATTTTCAGAGTCCTGAAGGTGTTAGAATGTCGAATGAAAATTTTGAAAATTCTTGATAAAAATAGTTCCACAAAGTAAATGCTCAAATTTTTTCACAAAGTAAATGTTCAAATGTTTTTCAAATTTTCTTGATGAAAATATTTCTTTTATAATATAGAATAAGCTGCTTTCTTATATTTTACATATAGAAAATATGCAAATCAGCTTTTAGAATTTAATTTAATAATAGCTCTTAATTCTTCATATTTAATTTGAGTATTTCCTCTCTGTATTCAAAATGTAGTAATAACTTTTCTGAACTACTCAATATCTAGATCAATTCATCTTGTATGGCTTGCATAACGCTGATGACGTAGCTAATTTGGAATCTGAACTCAGAATTTCGAGAACTGAAACCTTTCCTTCTTATGAAACGGTGTTTGATACACTTGGGTGCGTAGGCTGTCGCCTTACCCCAATCGAACATGTTTGAAAGTTTCGAAATATTTTAGAAAGTAACTCATTTGAGATATAGTAATTTTTTTTTAATTTAAATTTTGAAGAGATTCATGCACTATAAATTCAAGCCTCAAAGCTGTCTGAGTCTATGGTATCAATGTAATTTTGAATCAATAGGTCTCAAGCAGTGAACAAATACATACAATACACACAAGATATAAATATAAATATACATAAATAAAAAAATTCCGAATAACATGAAAAAGTAAATATAAAAATTAGACTTCCATGATTACATTTGGATAAAAAAAAAAAATCGGAGTTCAGAGTTACAGTACGTAAACGAATGTGAAACTGTCTGACTAGGTGGTAGTAAAAACTTCTCAGTAGAATTATGCCTAGTTTCGCATGAATTGCGTTGTTTCTAATATAATATAATGCATTTGTAATTTGCCACAGAACAGCATTCTGGGCAGTTTCCACTTTTTTTACATGAATACGCAACAGACTGGACAAGCGTAACGGAGCATGGGATGCAGAATGGGTTTCTAAATGAGAAATTTATTATCTATGGATAAAACTCTGTTTCGGGCAATTAAGAAGTTGAGTTTAGCTTTACGAACCCGAAACTTCTGAATAATGGAGCGTATATGTGGGGACCATGTGAGAGAATTTGTGGGGATCACCCCAAGATAAGTTACTTGCTTAGCCTAAGGCAGTGAGGTTCCATAAAACTGCAGGCTTTGTTCAACTTTTCTTAGTGAAGACTATGGTAATTGTTTTTTCAACATTGACCTGAATTTTTCATTTTTCAGTAGCGACGCCCTAGTGCATGTATGTGATTTTGGAAATGTTGTCTGACTGAGCTAAGAAATGCATTTTGAGCAAGGATCGCTGTGTCGTCAGCGTACATTGCTAATGTAGTGTTGTTGGGTGTGGTGGGTATATCGTTCACATAAATATTGAAAAGTGCAGGCTCTAGTAGCGACCCCTAGGCACGCCAGCTAAAACCTGACGTTTAGTGGAGTAAGTGTTAGAAAGGTGAAAGACAAAGAGTACCGGTTAGGTAGAACTTAATTATGTGTGTAATGTAATCTGGAAAGCCCAGATTGTGGAGTTTGTATATTAGTGCGTCCATCCAGACATGATCCAAAGCTTTGGCTATATCCAGGAATAACCCCCCAGTATACTCCTCTTAATGAATTCCTTCAGAGATGTGTTCCACAACACGATAAAGTTGATAGGGATGTAGACAACGACTTCCGAAATCCAAACTATTGTGGGATCAGTATATTGTTTGCTTCCAGATGTTTAGGTAATCTTTTGAGAATAACTGCTTCCATATGCTTGCTTATGCAAGGAAGTAGACTAATGGATCTGTACGACCCAGATTCAGATGCAGGTTTATTTGGTTTTAGAATAGGGGTGATTTTTAGCTGTTTTCCACTCCTGTGGAAAGTATTGCCATCGACGTATAGTGTTGAAAATGTTGGTCAGCTTCAATATTAACTTGAGTGTTAGCATCTTCATCATCTTGTTGATTTGGTCAATACCGGTGCTCTTTGTTGTTCTTTAAATTCTTAACATAGCCAATAACTTCCGACGGTCGGACTAGAAGATGTTGTTATTGAGTGGGTTTGTTGTGTAATTGTTATGAACGTCAAAGATAATCTGTCCTATTGCTGTGTCATATATGTTGTTTACGCAAAACAGAGATTTCAGATGCGAAGCTAAAAGTTCTGCTTTCTCAGTTTCGGTGTAATGGATCCTGTCAGGGCCTTTAAGGAGCGAAATATTATTGTATCATTTCCTATATCTAGAGCATGGTCTCCAGATGGAACTATCATTCGTAAAAAGCAGATTTAGAAAATTAGTCCAATACATTTTAATTTACAGAACAATTTTTGAACGTCTTTACTCTTTGTGCTCTGAAACCTTTCTTACCTAAACCAGAAACCTTCTCTCGGAGAGCCTCTGTATTGGGTGATTGCGAACTGTAGCTTCTAAGTCTACTGCCGCTTCAATGCTGTTTCGTTGTGCTCTCATCCTATATCAACAGTCAGTATCAAAAATGTAAATGTTCGGTAAATGGGCACGATTAGAGAATTCTTTTGGACTAAAGTAACATAAATGTGCTTAACACGCAAACATAAAATTCTTAAAAATAGATGAATACATTAATAGAAACGCTTCTTCGCTATATTATACTTAGATAGCCACTTTACTTGTGGGTAAACTTGTTTACTTGTGACCTAAAATTTGTGTTAGAGACCTGACGGCATCATTCAATCTATTGAACAGCTGCTTTGCGGAAGGAAATCAAGTGCGTTGGTATTGTCTTCTTGCAGCATTTCGTCTTTTAATTAGATATTTAAGTTTCAAACTTTTTTGGGTTTGGAATTTTTTATAATTTTACAAGCATTTCTGTGGGTATGTAATATTGAATCAGTAAAGTCCTTAACCAAACTATCAGTGTCGCTCTCATTATGTACTGTTGGAAGTGTGTAATGTATGTTGTTTAGGGCTTTGTCAAGCTTAGACCAGTCAGTAACAATGGCTCTTTTGACTGGTGTGATATAATATCTGTTTGTCTAGGAGAACTCTGACTGGATTATGGTCAGAGGAGAGCTCATCCAGCACAGAAACATCCAGTGGTTCACTGGTATTTCTGAGCAGGAAGAAATCTATAATTCCTGAAGACCCTGTACCATATCGTGTTGGAGTTTTTGGAACTGTTATGCGTGATGCAGCCAAGTTGGCTAAATCGTAATGCTGTTTGAATTGTTCCAGTTCCAC